TATGAAAAATGCAAATAAAGAAAATGAAGAAATCTTTACATTCACAGAAGAAATAATATCATTTAATGATCCAGTTATAGAAAATGAAATTAATAAATGTAAATATAGAGCAAGTGATCACACTGAAGCTTTTCAAATACAACTGTTGAGGTAATAAAATATTTTACAAGAATCTATTACCATTTGAAATATAATATATTTATGTTTTATATATTGAATTATTCTTATATAGGTTGTTGTTAGCCTTGATAATGTTAGAGCATCAATGCAGTATACAAAAAGGAGAAGAAATCGGTGTTATAACATCGTCTATACCAAGTACTCCAACTCGATCCATTTCAAATTTAACAGCTAATAACTTGAAATATGTACCTGGCATTCCAATTCCGCAACAGTCAATGTTTCTTAACAGTATTCTTAGTGCATTACAATTGGTTCGTTATAAAAAGTATCGTTAAATTAATTTATAATATAACATTTAATCTTCTTCTATTAATTATGATATTATTTTAGGAACATATGAGACATTTGCATCAACATTGGACAACTCTTGTTACATCTAGTCTTCCATTTATGGGCTCCTCATTAACATCAATTGTAACATCAGTGATTCATCAATTATGTTATAATATTGAACATTTAGCTTCTTATTATATCAGCGAAGAGGCAACTTTGCTTTCATCAAAGTTGCAAGACATAAGCACGGTTGAATGTTGTTTACCTGCTGATTATACAGTAATGCATTTAGAGGCACTAACATTTTTGCTTCATTATTGTTTGTTGGATACGTCGCAGCAAATTGGTTTTTCATTTAATCAACCATTAAGTGGTACAGTTCAAACTGGCGTACCTGGAGCAAATCCTGGACAGATTTTTAGTAATCTCATCCATGTTTTTATGCCAAGTCCACTTTCACCAGTAAGAAAAATATATGCGATTATTTCTTCTCTATTGATGTTTATAAATTATTTAATAGAGATTGCTTCATCAAATAAATATATTTAGGAACTTATGTCAAAGGAGAAGAATGGGGCAAATGAATTACATCAACATGCAAGAAGAACAGCATTAAGTCATTTACCAAGAATAATAGCTTCGCTCTCAACTTTATGGCAAGCAGTTTTAGCTACAAAAGACAAGTTTGTACAATGTTTTTATTTATAAAACAAATTATTTATTATAATTAGATCAGTATTTATTGTATCTTTTTTATCTTTTATACAGTGAACAAGCAACATGTGTGGTCGGCAGCCCAAGAATAGTAAAACATCAACTATTAGAACTTTTATCACCTATATCTTTCCATCATGGAGTAAACTTTCTTGCTGCAGTGGCAGTTGCTTGGCATGAAAGGCGACAGTCTACTACTACCTCAAAGAAGGTAAAATCAGTTATTTTTAAATGCAGTATAAATATAAAAATATTTTTATATTTATATTTAAATATGTATATTTATATATGCAGGTACTTCCAGAAGCTTGTCCAAATCAACAAGTAATGGTACATTTAGTTAGTGCTATACGAGTTATACCGATTGATACATTAGTTCAGACAGTACATCAAGTAGTAAAAACACCACCTCCGATTCATGGTGTTAAGCAAGATTTTTCATTAGAAGTTTCTGTGTTAGAATTACTCTATGTTTACATGCAAAGTAATGCCTCACAATCACTTATTGAATCATGGGGATCGTTACTTGGTTTATTGAAAGATGGTTTGTCCTTAACAGCACCTGCTCAATTTTTATTATTAGCAATTTTAAATGAATATGTACAAAAATGTCCTCCTATGCAAGAGAAAAAAGATATTAGAGATTTACAAGATGTATCTGCAAAGGTAATAATTTATTTTTAGAGTATCAACTATTCCATAATTATTTTTAAATACTACTTATAATAAATATGAAATTATTGAATTCTAGTTGATCGAATCATGTTCGCAAATAGCTGGAGCATGTTTAGAACAAACAACATGGTTAAGAAGAAATTTAGCTGTACGTGAAGATGTTTTCGAAGTTGTCGAAGGTTCCTCAGAAGGTAAAGAAGGCAAAAATGGTGCTGGTATGTAATCTTAAAATATTTTGTATTTTTTAACGATTTATACAAATTATCGTTAATAATAATTTTCTTTACTTTTAGTAACACCAGGTACACCTCCAAATGTAGCCTATAGTGTTCAAGCGCAAGCAGTGTTAGCTGAAATATTAGCACCGTTATTAGATGTTAGTTATGGCTCACAAGAAAAAGAAAGAGTTGTTACATTACTCACAAATCTTATGTACAATGTTACTCCCTATCTTAAGAATCACACGTAAGTTTATTAGAATATTAATAATTAAAATTATTTGTAAATTATAAAATTTATATATTTTTCTTATACTTTTAGAATGAAAAATATAGCGTCATTCACAGCCTGTTCTCAATTATTAAGTTCTCTTTCCGGATATCAGTATACTAGAAAAGCTTGGCGTAAGGATGTGCTTGATTTGTTACTTGATCCTGCATTTTTTCAAATGACGCCTGCATGTTTACCATATTGGAGAACGATTATAGATAATTTAATGACACATGATAATACTACCTTCCGAGATTTAATGAGTAAGTAGATTTTTTTTTTATTATTCTTTTTTTTTTGTAGTCTTCAATTATTTTAAAAGATTTATATAAAAAAAATGTTGATTATCTAGATCGCGTTTCGATGGCACAAAGTAGTGGCATTAGCATATTTTCTACGAGAGAACAGGAATACGAACAAAAAGCTCAACTTTTGAAGAGATTGGCTTTTGTTATTTTATGTAGTGAAATGGATCAATATCATAAATATATGCCAGAAATTCAGGGTATAATATAGTATAGTATATTAAGTATGCTTATTGCTTGTAAAAAAAAAAAATGGAATGTTATATTAATTTTATTTTTTATTAGAACGACTTGCCGATAGTCTACGTCTACCACAAGTTATTCCATCGATTCAAGCACAAGTATTTTTGTGTTTTCGAGTATTACTTTTACGAATGTCACCGCAACATGCTACTTCCTTGTGGCCTGTTATAGTCAGTGAACTCGTGCAAGTCTTTCTGTACATTGAACACGAACTAAACACAGATAGCGAGGAATTTAGGTATGTTCTGAAATTGTTTATATTTATCTAACATTTGGAATGTAATGTGTGCTTGTGGGATAATTGTGTTGCTCTTAATGCATGATGGATTTTTTACTATGTACAATTTTTGGGAAAAATATATCTTTCGATAAAAGAGATATAATATTTACATCATATACAAATTCAATCATTTGTTATTTTATTTATTCGTAGTTGATTCTTTTTAATGCATCACAGATTAATATAAGTTATTTAAAATTATATATATATATATATATTTTTTTTACATATTAATTTAATATTACTTATATTTATGTAGCATTAGTATAAAACATATTGTAGAATATCATAAAATCTATAAAAGCATTTGTTTAATATTAGAATTATACAGGGTGTCCTATAACTGATGATACAGACGAACAGGGGTTGATTCTACATGAAAAACTAAATCGATAATGTAGAATAACATTTATTTAAGGCTTTGTTTGCTTTTTTTAAATAAGCTTGAAAATTTATCGAATATGTGTGCTCTTGATTGACCTTGCAATCCTGGAAACTAAAAGCTCTGTTCAATAAACATAAGATTAGAACTGATGTAAAAAATATCCTCATACTCTGACAATGTTTATAAACATATTAAAAATGACTTTCGAAATATCTGAAAGAAAGATAATGAAATCCGTCAAGTTGAAATTAAATCAAGTGCACACACACTTGATAAATTTGTGAACTAATTTTTCCAAATAAAAAAAAAGACTTACATGAATAAATTTGATTCCATATTCTCGACTTTTGTTAGTTTTCCATGTAAAATTACCTTCTTCTCGCTTGTACCATCAGTTACAGGATACTCTGTATAAAAAGTTAAGTAATTATTATAGTATATTTAAAATGTAGCTTTTTGTTTCCTTCTGAATTATACATTAGAAGTTTACATCCAAACCCGTATGCTGCAGTCCGATCCTAATTTGCCTACATAATTTTCCTCTAACATGGATAAATACCTAATAACATATTGTTTTTGAATTTGTTATGGCATTCGCGATTTGATGGGATTTGTGATGCCACCATGAATTTGATTGGTGTTGGGACATCAGTCGTCAGAGCAGGTAATTAAATGGCTATTGTGTTTTTCATTGATTTTGTCTTTTTGTTTTATGTTAATCTATGCATTTTTTAACATAAATTCAAGGAGATAATAATAGAATATAATTATAATACATTAATCCTATGGAAATCATTATATATATGCTATCATGATAATAATAATTATTATTATTGAAATAGTTTCTCATTATCATTGCCAATAACCCAATTGAATGTAAAAGAATGCTTACATATATTATTAATGACATTAATTGTATTTGGAACCCTTGAGTTTCTGTTTCTTTTTTTTTCAGTTGTTTAAAATTTTAATAAAAGTATGCTATGTTACTTAAATCAGTATGTTAATGCAAATGATTGTTATCAAATGAAATATTGTTTACTAATAAATTTTTTGTTTTAATAGTTCACATATAAAAGTTATCTCTGTTTTGGATTCTTCTTGGGCTATAAATGCTAGTAATGGTCTGCAAGCTCATGGTCATCCACACTGGTTACAGTTACAACTTGCTGCTGCTAAATTATTAGATCTTGTGTTATTACTTCCAGCACATAGATTACCTCAATTCCAAATGTAAGTATTATTTGTTGTAAGATATAATTATAAGATAAAAGAACGTATGTTTCCTATATTACAAATGTATACACCTAATTTTCTTTATTAAATTCATTTGTATAGGTATAGATGGGCATTTGTTGGAGGTGCTGCAGTTGGGTGTACAAACAATAATAATCTCTCTTCTGATTTCGTGCCACACATAACAAGGATAGCAAAGCTTATGGATAATAAGGTATTCATTTTCTTAAATAACTTTAATTCACATAAAGGATACAAACTTTGATTATTTTCTATTATCGTTAAATATAAAGATCGAATATTTTTATCAAATTTTATTTATTATAAATAATGTCTTCTTGTTTGGAAGAACATTCTTCAGGTAATAGGCACTGTTGTTGTTTATCATCGAACACATAATTTTCTTTGCATTCGCATCCACTTTTGCATGGAGTATAACAGTCTACCATATTAGGTTCATTGCATGTAAATTGACAAAGACAATGAGTCCATATTGATTTCTCATCACAGACCTTAGAGGAACTCTTTACGCCAAAATAATCAAACTCGTCGTAATCGTATCCAGGAATACGATGTTTGGTATAACGATATACTTTTTCAGGCACTTTATACCAATCCAATTGATTATTAAGCGAGTTAGTACGTTTTAATGAATTTTTATCGTTAGAAAATGCAATGGAGAAATCATTTATATCCGGATACATGTCGTTCTGTAATTCTGCATTCTCTATATCATTTAAAATATAGAAATCATCTTGTAATGCATTCTGCGGATTATCTCCCAAACTCTGTACATAATCGATTGATGCATCTTGATAAAATTCATGATTGTAGTCTGCGTCATCTTTGTATTCTATAACATATCATTTTTATTAAACATTCAAATTAACAATTAACATATTAATTATCATTTAAGTCACATAATTAATAAATGCTTGATAATTATTTTTCATTTAAGGCTAAATAACACAGCATTAATTTGCTTAATTATAATTAATAGCAATTAACTGAAATTGAAACTATTAAAGAAGCTTTATACTAGTATAATTTGGTATATCATTATTTCTTATATTCTTTACATGTTTCATATATTTTAAATAAATATTAAAAACTAAATAAATATTTAAAAAAAAAAATAGAGAGAAAAAATATGTTTATATTAAATGATTTTAAAAATATTTTTTAATAGCTATCTTCTATAAGAAATAATAATTGAATATTATTAATATCTATTACTTTGTTTTGTTAGATTTTCCTTAAATATGTGATACTTACGTCCATTTGTTAAAATAATTAAATAAAAGATGAAACAAAGAATATTCTCCATTCTAACCATTGTCATCAGCACATTCACACTGACTGTCTGTGGGATATGTATACTCTTTACTTATTATTACACACAAATGTGTTCAATTAACTATCAAGCTATGTACTCATATGCATACACACAGATACAAAGCATCCTCATATGCATATAGGTCTATTTAAAGTTCTTTCCAAGATATTTCTTCAAGCTTGATTTTTCTTGACTTCTTAATCATATTGTGTATTTCTTTTTTGTAATTTTGGATCATTCATTAATTATGAATATTATTATATAAATGTATTATTGTACAATATAATGCTATTTCAATTGTATTAATTTAGTAACTAACGTGCTTATTTTGGCACAGTAGAAGATGAGATATATACACTTGGTTTATTTTTGCAGCTATACTAATAACTATATGTCTGTTTTTGTGTATGTATGTACTTGTATTTTTTATACGGTTGTATGTGTGTATTTTCTAACTATAGTAAATTTGTTTTAAGTAACTTATAATAATAATTACAATAATTTTATGAAATAAATTCTAAACACATTTAATTATATATATATATATAATTATTAACAGTATAATTCAATTGATCAATATCGTATTATTTAATTCTATTTTCAGTACAAGCAGGAACCACCTGTCTCAGAGATAAATCCAGGAGAACTGATCTTAACGTCAAATTCAATACGTTCGTTGCAAGATTTACATCATTTTTTTATATCACTGAGTCGTAAATCAAATAATATTTGTGCTCTTGTCAATAATACACAGTTGGAAAGTGTAATAGAACAAGACTTTTTAGAAAAAATGCCAGCCATACCTACGAGGTAGTAGGAATATATAAATTCGATTATTTAATTGTCTTTCAAGAGAGAAAGAAAGGAGAGATATAATTCAGAGTTTTTAAGATTCTTTATTCTTTTATATCTTTTAATATGATAATATGTAATTGTTAATCAATGTATAAGATAAAGAAAAAGCAAAAGAAAAAATTACTTATCCTTTATCTGCTTAATGTACTATTAATTATTTTAAAATTGTAAAGCTTTGTTATATACTATATACTAAATGTTAAAGGATTCAAACTATTACATATACAACATAATTTAACCCAAGTTACTTTTAGTTTGTATTAGCTAAGCTCCTCATTCGGTTGTGAGTAGTTATTCAAACGTATGATGCACTATAATAAGAATTGACTGGGATATTTATCCATAGTGATATATAGTTTATAATATTATAATATTTGTGTAAATGAAAATAATGCTTCATTATTCATTTACATAATGTTCATTGATATAATTCTATCAATTGTACAGCATGATTTTTCTATATGTCGTCTATATTTTCAAATTAGAAAGATAATAATTACAAAGAGAAAAATGTTTTTACATAGAGTTTATTTTTTCATTACTGTGTGTATAAAATTATTCTTAAATGTAAAAACAAAAAAGAAATATATATATATATATATATATATATACAGATTGTTCACTAACTCTTGCCACCAAAATAGCTGCAAAAGTGTAATAACAGACAGAAAAGATTTTAGAAAAAAAAGTTGCATGGGACAATTGGAACTATTATATGATGTTAGCTTTTTTTATTAGACGAAGTCGCTTCCAAGATTTAAAGGTCAACTTTATTTTTTTTTTTTTTTTAAATAGAATGCTATGTTTTGGTACTAATTTTCTGATAACAACTGTAAAGGCGAGTCGAATGATGTGGAACATTAAGATCTTTAAAGGTCAACGAAGGTCAATTTTGGCGAACAAGTCGACCACGATACAACTCCTCGGCGTTATGGTTGCGTCAGGGTTGCGTCATCCTTTAATTGTTCTGACAAAGGACAGAACAGATATCGTCCGAATAGTGTTTATTTGTAATTATCAGATTTTGTATTTAATGTTGTATATCATTGGATTCGTCTCGACAGCCATTATCAGAAAATTAGTACCAAAACATAGCATTCTACTTAAAAAAAAAAAAAACAAAGTTAACCTTTAAATCTTGGAAGTGTCTCTACCTAGCAAAAAAAGAAACTAACGTCATATAATAATCCCCGTTGTTTCATGTAACTTTTGTTCCAAAAATTTGTCTGCTATTATCATACTTTCGTAGCTATCTAGGTGGCAAGAATTAATGAATCATCCTGTATATATATATACATGTATAAATATTACCAAAAGAAGTAGTAAAATTATACAATACTTCACGTTATAAAAAAATATTATACTATATAAGATCGTTCACATAACTAAAAATAATTCGATAATATTTCACATATATTAATTTTAATTAACAATTTAGATTGATATTGTAAAATTTTGTAGAAAATCATTGAATTTTATTTATGAAAATTAAAAGTTATGCTTCAAATCTTTATAAGTTATTTCAAATGCCTCATATATAATTACTTTTTAATTATACAATATTCGTTGGAATCATTTTTTGTTAATATCAATATTTAAAGATTTATCGAATTGGATCTAGTTACTTAAATTATCTTGTATAATGTAATATAATATATTTATTTGAAAATTATCTATTAGTAAAAAATTCACAATTAAATTTATAAAAATGAGTTAATTATATATATATATATATATTTATGGGTAGTAATATAAAACAATTATATATATATATATTACTATTTTTTCAAATCTTATTTTAATATTTATGAATATGTAAAAAATTGTAAAGAAAAAAAAACAAAAGAAAGAGAAAAAGGAGAAAATATTTAGAATTCTTCCATATTAATCACATTTAAACATTATTTTCTCAAAAATGAATAATTTTTACTATCGCAATAATGTATATTATATTGTATACAAATATTTTTCTTCTACCGATACGCACATGTACCTAATATATAACATTTACACGTAACACACCTGCTGTCTGATTATTTTAATATTTGCACTAAAGTAAATAAAAGCAAAAGATTATAATTTGAATCAATTATATATTAATTATGTAATTACGTTTATGAACGATTGTTTTATCCAATTCTATATAATAGAAATATGAGTTTATTATGTAAATGCATTTGTTGTACAATTGTTGGTTTTATCTATATAATAATGTGCATTTGAATATGGCGAAAGGATGCAAGCGGATGAATTGTAAGTGGTAAATAAGTAAATACGTGTTTACATATAAAATTCTCTCCACATTGGTTTATATCCAAGCATTAAACATACATATAATTTAAATTGATTTCAATAGAAAAATTATAATATATATATATATATATATACTGGATGTCCTATAACTGGTGGTACAAGCGATCAGAGGGTAATTCTACATGAACAATTTAGGCAATAATATGGAATAACATTTGTTTGTTTTCTGTTCTTTTTAAATAAGTTTGAAAATGTATCAATTATACGTGTACTTGATTGAGCTACAACCCTGGAAACTAAAAGTCTTGTTTGATAAACATAAGAACCAATGCAAACAATATTATCATATTGAGAATGTTTGTAAACATATTAATAAGTACAGAATGCTTTCCGAAATAATCAAGAGTAAGATAACGAAATTCGTAGAGATGAAAATGTAATCACGTGTAAAAGTGAAGCACGTGTATTTGATATATTTTTAAACTTATTTTTTTTTTTTCAAAACAAAACCTAATATAAATAAAATTTATTTTATATTCTCAGATTAGTTTAACATATAGAATACCTTGTTTTCTAGTTATACGATACCCTATATTATTATTGTGTAAAAATTAAAAGTATTGCTGTGTTTTTAATTAGTAAACTTTATTTATAAGCAGAAAAAATGATTGCATTTTTTAACGAAAAAAAAAAAAAAACGTTTTAGAGTCACATTTACAAAATTTATCTTGATATATTTTATAATCCATACTTTAGCACATATAAACTCTACCTTTTAAAATACGGATTTAATGCGCCATTTCAAATATATGGCGTTTTATGGTGCTCACGAGTGTGTGTGTGTATGTGTATGTGTATTTAAACTTTAAAAATATATTTTGGTAAATCAAAATTGTATATATATACTAGGGTGCCCCGGCCACGCGTTGCTGTGGCTTTTTTTGAGGTGAAAACTTTTTCAAAATCAGATCGATTTAAAAATCGTTAAATGAAAGAACGTAAAACTGATAAAACAAAGATAATTTATTAATTAATAAAATTCATTATATAATTTTTTATTCTATATATTAATTAATAAATAAAAGTCTATATATAAAAATCAGTGTCACAATTTATTTGTCTATTAATAATTCTGAAACTGCTTATCTTATCTTATTGAAATTTGTTTTATTACATGCGTTTTTTTCCAACTTAGCACCTAGCATAATTTCAAAACACCAANTTTGTCTAAAAAATGAAAAAAAAAAGTTTAGGGGTGGACTACCCCTAACATTTAGGGGGATGAAAAATAGATGTTGGCCGATTCTCATAGATACCGGATAAGCACAAAAAATTTCATCAAAATCGGTCAAGCCGTTTCGGAGGAGTATGGGAACGAAAACTGTGACACGAGATTTTTATATATATATAGATATATATATATTTTTTTTTTTTCCTCAATACTTCACATTTTTTTGTTTTACAGAAATGACTTGTATTAAAGATAGGTAGACAAGAAATTATTTCGAGTTAAAATATATTGTGCAATTCTTTTTTTTTAAACGATTATGCAAAAATTCTTTGCAATATTATAATTATTAAAAAAAAAAAAAGAAAAAATTATTTTTATCTCAGTTATATATATATATTTGAATTATATAACATACGTATTTAATGATGCATTTTGAATGAATTATTGATTAAATAAATTTTAAAAAATTTCTCATTTGAAAGCCATTAAGTGTACGCATGCGACTGATGGTAATGCAATTGTTTCACAAAGGAAAAATTTATTTCGTATTGTATAGTCTAGAAAGAAAAAAAAAAAAAAGATTAAAAAATTCAGATTATTGTTAAAAGAATTTAAAAAATGGTGAACAATAAAAAGAATAAAAACAGAATTTGGGAGTTATCCGTGCATTGAAGACGACAGTATTAAGCAATATTCTTGAACATAAGTGGTTACGTGTGGAACCGGTTTTCTCGAATCGCAGTCGACAGACGACTCGTTTTGTAGAGATTAAAAGACGTGAGGTGAAAGTAAGATGACAAAAGAAAAATCTCAGTTTCACGAATTGACTAAATTTTACTCAAAGAAGATCTACTTAAAAATAAGGCTAATGTAGACTTAACTAAAAATATGCTCGTATTGGAAAGCTTAAAAAAGTATATAAATCGTTATTGCTTACAATGGCATACAAACTAACCTAATTCGTGATTTGTTTGCAATCTTTATTTTATACGGATAGATAATCTTAAAGAAGGAAGAAATACGTGTGTTGTATTTCCTCTATTATTTTATCTATCAATATTTCAGAAATATAAATATATATATATATATTATTATATATATATATATATACATATATATAAAAATATAACGATAGCAAATTAGTTGTTGAAATATTTAAAATGGCTGTTGTTAACAAGTGGGAGAATGTATGTAGATTGTGTTCAGAGGAGAAAATCGAGATGTTGCCAATATTTGGCATTGAAGGTGTACAACGTAAAGTGGTGCAAAAATTAAGAGCTTGTTTGCCAGTTTTAGTGTATAAAACCGACCCACTGCCTAAACAAATTTGTCAGTTTTGTGCAGCACGTCTTGATGATATTTATGAATTTAGAGAATATTGTCTTAACGTTTATAAGGATATGTATGTTAAACTGTTAAATTATAAGGACGTTGAATCTGTACAGATATTTTTTGAAGCTATGAAAAATTCTCCTGATCCTTGTCAGGTATGTTGTTTCATGTCAAATTTTATTGATTATAATCATTGATGTGGATGGATATAACAATAAACACACAATAGTATCTAATAATTATATTTATATAAAACATTTTCAATAGGCACAACTCTGCAGAGAAAAAGTTAGAGCTCCGCCACCATTAGTGCCATTACCGTCATTACTATCTTTTGAAAGTTCTTCTATGTTAACCGAAGTTAATCGAGAACAATTATCTAATAATTGTATCGAAACATTATCTGAACTACCATGTGAAGTAGAAATTGAAGAAGTTAATTCAGAAACATTTATTGGAGATGATACATGCGGAAGCACAGACTCGAGGACATTATCCGATAATGAATTCTATCAAATGACAGACAAACAACTTGATTTTAATGTTTTTGAACATATAGAAAATGATAATAGTTCTTCTAAGGAAGAATTTGTAACTAAGAAAGAGGAGAAACGAACTAGTATTTTAGAACAAGTTTTAACTGGAAGTTTAACTATGAATGATCGTATGGAATTAAAAGGCAGGGAACATTTAACGTCAGAGTGGTGGTGTGCACCTTGTAATAGTTATTACAAGTGAGTATATAATTTATTATCAATTGTAGTTTGTTTCTAAATGAAGAATAATTTTTAATACATAGAACAAAAGAATGCCTGAGAAAACATCTTCAATCCCATGGTCCACGTAAATATAAGTGTAGAAAGTGTCGTATGTCTTTTGAATCAGTTGAAAATTTGGCCAAACATGAAGGTGCTACTCATTGGAGAGTTACATTGGATTTCAATGAAAAAGCGAATGGGTGTCATCGATGTGATCGCAAATTTGTTAGTTGGGAAATGTTAAAGCAACATAGAATGCGTGATCATTTTGGTGAAATTATTCGAATAGGAACGAATACATGGTGCTCATCTTGTAACAGGTATTTCATTAAATCTAAATTAAATTATTATTTATTTGGACACCTATATTCGTATATGAAGAAGAATTTGATTATTTTCTAGATCTTTCCCCACTGAAGAAGCATATCAAAATCATCAACAATTGCATGAAAATATTAATTATTCGATGGCACAAATGAAACAACTTTCTATGAAACTTTCTATAAAAAAAAAATTTTCTATATTTGGTCATGGAGATCATTTACAAGAGATTAAAAAGGAACATTCGCCTGAAAATACTAAATCGCTTACTTGCCCTACTTGCGGAAAAGTAATACATTCATAATATTTTTTTAAATTCTTAGTATTATTTGTTATAATAAAGTTATATTTGAAAAATAATTAAAAATTATTAATAATTTTATTTAATATTACATTTTTATATTTGACTCTAGGTATGTACGCAACAAAGTGCATTATCCAATCACATGCGTATTCACGAACCTAAAAGATATAAATGTGACATTTGTGGTCGATCATTTGGATTATTTATACGTTTAACTGCACATATAAAGAATGAACATGATCAACAAACTTCTATGTCTCCACTTACGGCATCCGTTGAACAAGAAGAAGCTTTAAATGCTGCACGAGAAGCGCGAGAAACGCGAGAATCTAGAGAAGCTAGAGAAGCTTGTACTCGTGCAGGAAAAACTAGAACATATTCAGAGGTTTAATTATTACAATTTATATTAAAGTCTATATATTAAATTCTATTTATTAAAATAATGATTATTATAAATAATATTTTACTGATAAGCTTTAAAAAGCACTGAGTTTGTTTGAGTAAAATTATAACTTTCTATAAATTATTTTCAGGCATTTAATCGAAATAATATATTAAATAGCGTTGAATCTTTAGCAAAACAAAATACTTCATTACAAACTAGCAATGAAAATATGAATGTTTCACGCTGTGGTATTTGTTTTCAATGGTTCAATGATTACAGGACTATGATGATACATTTACGAACACATCCAGAATTCTATACATGTAAAAATTTCACTTGTCCTATATGTAAAATATCTTTTAAAGAAAAATGGCAACTTTCCAGACACAAGGTAAAGTATATTATAATATGATATTAATGTAAGTTATAAAAAATCTATTATTTTTATATCTTATTTTTACAGGAGATACATAACCGTACCGACACATCATCTTCCTATGCATGTAATGTTTGCAATAAAACATTTTTAGAAAAAAGTTTATTAAAAATACACGAAAAGACACATGTTATAAATAAAACGTATCATTGTCCAAAATGTAATAAACTTTTTTTCAAAGAAGTTTCATTGCTTTCCCATCAATGTACGGGAGAACCATTACATCAGAAAAAAGATTCAACTTCGAAAGTCAATCCAAAATCGTTACAAACTACGAAAAAATATAAGTGCTCTGAGTGTAACGCAACTTTTAGTAGTGAGATATTAAAGAAAGCTCATATGGAAGTTCACATAGAGAGTATTAATGCCGCAGTAGGTTTAATTTTCGTTTTATATCTTCTTGTAATAATATCGAGTAGCTTTTAAATAATTTTATAAATTTAGGTACGAGAAGCGATACTAAAAGATGAGCTAGAAAAATATTTAATGCCAGAATTGAAACCAGAAACGTCGCTGGAACACATCGTGCCCTCTATCGAACCAAAAGTTGAGATCAATGAAGAAACTGCAACACCACCTCCACTTAAGAGAACTCTCATCAAAACAAGTGGAGGGTAAGGCATATAAATTAAATATTTTAATTGTTCTTCTCCTATAAAGATTTGTTCTTTTTTATGTTTCTTTTTTTTTTTTATTATATGATTTTTTAAATTTCTTATAGATATCGTTGCGGTTTTTGTCAATCTCCATTTGTCTTGAGAGAAATAGCAATCGCACATTTGAAATCTGCGCATCCTGTAATGCCATATCAATGTCCTTATTGTACAAAACGATTTACAACTCAATACACATTTACGCATCATATTAAGACCGATCATCCTGAAGAACCAGAAAATTAAACAATAACAGAGAAAAAATCATTTATTAACAATAATAATAATAATAATTATACTAATAATAATAATAATATTAATTATAATAATTATAATAATAATAATATTAATAATAATAATAATAATAATAATAATAATAATAATAATAATAATAATAATAATAATAATAATATGAGCAAGATTAGACTTGGCAAAGCCATGTCTAACCAGCTTATTGCCCCAGTAAAGCGGGAGGAAAACAACAGTTTAAAAATAATTATAATAATAATAACAATAAAATAACAATAAAATAATAATAAAATAATAATAATAATAATAATAATAATAATAATAATAATAATAATAATAAAAACTATAACAATAATATTAAATAGTAGAAATACAAGGTATATAAAAATGCATGCTGCTGCCTCTTTCTACTGAAAAATGTGCCTCGTGTGATAATCGAGAAATTCGTATACATATATGATAATATAGAATATATGCAAAAGTTTGATTTTGCGGAAATGAAAAGATGTATTACATCTAGTTTACGATGTTCCTGTTTAAAATAGCGTGAGACATTGCATTGTAGCTATTCGTTATTACGTATTATATCTATCTTATTCAATGACGTTAACAATCCAAAGATATAGTTATTTTTTTAAATGAAAAGTGTGTTCATGTATTTATTTAATTTGCCCTTAAACATAGAAAGAAGACTTATAATAGTATCATTTATAACAGTATATAGTACAGTATATTTTGTCGATACGGTGATAATAAATATTAATTAAATAGGGGAAGAGTTTGTACTTATGTTTAAATTATATATATATATATATGTAAATTGCAATGTCTACTCGCAGAAAAAACTTGACAAACATAACACATATATCGTAAATTTGAATAGATATAGTTTTATAAATACAGCATGAATAAAAATTATTATTATAATTAATAATATACATTCCCCTTTTTATTATGCGATCGAAAAGAAAAAAAGATAAAACGTTAAATTTAATGAAGATCTATTTTTCTGGTCAACTATAACGAAATTTATTGAAAATAGTAGTACTTACGTAGTTTACAGTCTGTTTATTGTATTTATCAATGTATGTTTTATGTATATTCTTTTATTCTTAAAAAATTTATAGACAAAGTTAATAAGCCTTAAAAAAAAAAAAAAAAAAAAATAAAAAAATAATGAAAAATTTAAAGAGCTCAGATTTGTCGTCGGAAAATTTATAAGAATTTCGATGTTAATTATATATAAAAAAAAACATGTAAGTGCACTTGAATGTGTATAGCGTCTATTTAGTGTATGTATTTAATATCTTTAATGCAAATGGTGCCTTTTCGTATTTTTCTCAGTTAAATAATAATACCAAATTAAATACATATATATTGTAAAAAATATATCTAAGACTGTCTCATTGTTTATCGTGAAAATGATTTAAATAAAGCAATATACTTTAATATACATTTATACAAGTATTATAATTATTTATTAATTTATACATAATATATAACTAAATAATATTTTTGCAAAATATCATGGAAAAAATTAATTATTAAATAATGATATGTATGATAAATATATGATATGTATTTGTATATGTATATGCATATATGTATATAGGTTAAAAGATTATATTGTATTGTTCTTATATTGACGTTATTACTACGCGCCTTATCACAGACATCATAGATACATATGTCGGACCCCAAAGAGACTGATATATACTTCTACCTTTTGTTAATATTTCATTCTAATAATAATCTACAAATGTAAGTAAATATTAAATGAACGTAGGATCGATGGGCGTAGGATAAAAAAAATGCATTTTTTATATTTTTATTTCAAGCTTAGAAGTAAGGAGGAGTGAGTGAGCAAGGAGATGAAATAAAAAATGGCGCTAACAAAAAGAATAAATTCGGAGATTCGTGTGTAAGCGCGCTCGCGCGCGTTAATGTCAAAATAAAAATAAAACATTATAAAAAAAAAAAAAAAAAAGATTGAAAATGAAGTAATTGAAAAATGTATAAAAATAAATGAAAATGTTGATAAGGCTTTTTAACAAGGCTCTATATATGAGACTTTTTGGAATATTGGTAGGAGTTAAAATGTTCGGTTGTGTGTATGAAAGGTCGTCTGTCGACAGGCGCATGGAAAAGCCAAAGGGGGCAGATCTGCCGCATTAGCCTCGCGGAAAACGGTTCCTCTTGTCAGACGCGACGCGTCTGCGAACACGTACGGTTCTAAGCTTCCGATAAGGTAAAATAATATTCGTTTAGTTCGTTTGGTCTATCAGTTTCTTTTATTAAAGACTTCATTCCAACAAGGTAACTCTTATTTTTTCGTTTCTTTCAAGAAGTCAAGAATTTCAAATAAACTCAGAAACAAAGAAAATATATATATATATATATATATACGCTCGAAGAGATCGATTAAGAAGATCGATAATATATAATACGTGGGAAGGTGGAAAATTGAATTTCAAAAAGATAAAAGAATAAAATAAGAAAGAAAGAAAAAAAATCGTTTTCCTGTTTACTGAGAAACCACTTCTTCGGGACGAGAGTCAGAGGAGAAAAAAAGACGATTGAAGTTTGATCTTGACTGATCGAATCGAAAAAGGATCCTACTGTGAGGAAACACATGGTACGGTGATCGTTATGATGACTGCAAACCGATTCGCGCCTTTCGTCACCCTCGTTTCTGTTGTTTTGGTATCAACCTTCCGTCACGGTGAGTCTCATAATATGAAAAATATTTAAAAAAAAAAGAAATTAATTTTTACCTGTTTTTCTTATTTGTTAAAAAAGAAAGAACAGAAAAAGAAAAAAACGAAATCATTATTAAAACAAACGCGTTTTTAAACACGTGCTGTATCGCTAAAGAAATCGTTAATCGTTCAGTTAGATCGATCGGCTTGGATCTTTAAATTTGTATAGTTTAAAACGTTGATACACACGAATAGAATTTTTGTCAAGTTATATTAATATGTGTGTAAAATATTTTGTTTATAAAGCATTCACAAGATTAATGTCAGTTTGAACAAATAATACAAATCGTTATTTATTCGCTTGTTTGTGTTTTATTGATCAAAATAAGAAAAACAGAAAAATCATTGATACAGTTCATTTTGTTTAATAACGAATTTATATTTGACTATGATTACTATTTCCCTGTGGTATATCTTTTTTAAAAATAACAGGAAATGAGGACCTATTAGAGCTTCGATAGAAAAAGAAGAGAATCAATAGTACGACCTTGGGTATTCGATTAGAACTTTATGAAAGAGTAACACAAGTTAGAACGTTTACTATTCGATAAAATTCGTTCGTTAGTTAGAAATAGTTTTTTGTTCGTACTAGTTAGTTTATTTTTAAACGATTTGATCGAGATATCGTAAAAATACGTAAGAGAAAAAAAAAAATCGTCATATATGATCGTAACTATCCTCAAAATTTGTTCTTACATAAAACGCCCATATTGTATTATGTAACAACTGAAGATTAATTATTTGTTATCTATTCGTTTGGAAAAATGAAATAAATTATGCTATGATCTTTAAATTCTACTTTAAGATAGATTTATCTATCGTTGGCACACATATAACGTTTATACAAATTAATGAGAACTTTAAAGAAGGGATGACAGTAATATTTAGTTAACTTATCAGAAATCATTTGAAACATTGGTGATTCGATTGGAATAGCTTTTTCCAGACTACAATTACCCTAGAGTTGGTATTAGAAATTTTTTATGAAAAGTAGAAATATTTGATTGAGACATCGATAATCAAAAAATGATGAGAATCAATTGAAAAGAATATACAAAGTAATAAAAAATGAAAGAAATAAAAGAAGAAAACTGAAGTATTAGTGCTTCTGTAAAGGATTACGTTGTTCCACATATTCGTTGAGGAAATCGTACAATGGTAGCACTTGTGGTACTTCCCTACCGCCTTTCTAGAAACTTAGATGTTAGATAGTTTAGATCTTTAAATCGGATTCTATTAAGAAAATACTTGCTGTATGGATTGAAAACAGGTCGACGATACTTCGAAAATATTGTCCCAAGACAAGAGTGGACTGTATTATTTAAATTGTAATTGTGTGAAAATAAATCATCGATTTTTACTTTTTTAAAATATATTCATATTTGAATATATTAACGATAATTCAACGTTTGATTTGATCACGTGAGAAAAAAAAATATATCCGCAATATAAAAATGACGAAAAACGATCGAAGTATTTTTGAATCGACAAATAATAAAACAGTTTCCAATGCTTTTCATATAAAAAGGTCACGAGTTTTCTCCTTTCGTCGTAATTAAATACGAATAATTTTATCATTTGAATGATTCATAAATCTATTACTCCTTCGAGGTTAAAAAATTATTAATAAAAATAATTATCGTTCTATTATAAGAATAGTAAAAAAAAAAAAAAAAATAAAAACCAACAATTTTCTAAATCATTTCAAAACTCATTTATTTGCAGAAAATGATGCGTTAAGATTAACAAAATTGAAAATAAATACAGTTCCAGCAAATTCTATTGGTCGATTTGAAAATCGATGTTTTTCTAATTCATTTTTTAGTCGAATGAAAATTGATTGATCGGATAAAAATTCCGATAAATAAAAAAAAAAAAAAAATTAATAAAATAAATAATAAAATGGAAGGAATCATTTGATTATGACTGTCATTATTCTGTTAGATCTGGCATAATTTAGGGAAATTTAGAATTTCGTTCATAGAATCAGTCCTCGCGAGGGTTATCGAGCGACCCACTTTCTCCCCTCCATCCCCCTGTTCAGTCCTTCCATTTCCCTCTCTTACTCACTCACTCACACATACACTCTCTCTCTCTCTCTTTTCTCTCTTTAGTTTTGTCTTCCACCTTCGTATATTTCTCTCTTTTTCCTTGCACCTCGTGGTACCACGATGACATTGAATACTTTGCATAAACCCTACTGCACAACTTGAAGGTTAAAATAAAGTCTCTTTAATGTGTATTCTTATTTACATCTTACGAGTATATAAGATAATGCATTTTTTGTTTTTATTTTTTATTTGACAGATTTAAAAGAAGCTTGATTTTATTTGAATCTCTAATTTTTTCTTCGAATAAATCATTTCGTTGAAATATATTTAATAAAGTATTATGAATAAAAGATGATCTATATATCTAATGATATCGAATAGATCAAAGTAGTATCTAGAATACCTTGAGAAGAAGGATGGATATAGGAACCCAATGCCGATCGAATTGGACCGGCTCAATTTCTGTCAGTTACGTAAAAGATCCGCAACGCCGTGGTAGCTGATACCTGTCATACTACGTGTCCTTTTACTACTATCCCATATCCCTTTTAACGTTTCATTTTTTTTTTTTATCAAAGATCGAAGGTTAGTCGTTCGAATCAAATGTCACTTTAAAGGTGAACCCTATTTTCTTTATTCATGACAATATTATCATTAATATCTTTTTTATTACTAAAGTTTATTGTGTAATTGTAAACCCTTCTTCAATTGTAAAATTATTGTGATCCGTAATAATACTTGATTATCTAACAATAAAAATTGATTTGTGAAGCACATCATTTTTAGAATTAAAAAATAATTGATTTGTGATAGTAAATAGGACACGTTCGAAGAAGCTAACCTTTTGTCATGTTGCACGAAATTCTATTACGTAAACTATATTATTAAGAATGTATTCTCTTAGTGTGGTTTTCACATTTAATCGATAGTCGTTGCAGGTTCACTTTTCATACCTTAGGTTTATTTAACTCTCCTATCGAAAATGTTATCCACTCTGGCTGCTAAAGGGTTGAATCTCTCACCCTCTCTATTTCTCTCTTCGACTAGGTTTGTAGTAAATTTAACATAGGTCAGAACGAAAGATTTCCATTAGAGCGTCAAAAAGAGAACTCTTCTTATAATATGTACTTGTATATTCCAGGAGAATTAGAAATAAACTTTATCGTTTAGCTAATTCAAGTTCCATTAATCAAATATTATCGATTCGTTACTGCACTAGAACATTTGAAATAATTGTAATATATATTTCACTATTTTTTGAAGTTATCTTAAGGGAAAATTTAATTAATAAAAATTAAATGAATTTAATATTAAACAAATGTTAGACTATCGAATGAATCAAAGAATCACTGAAAACTTGAAATAAATGATTATGCAAATGAGTGCATCATGTTTGTCGAATAATTAGTTGCTAAATAAAATTGGTGCACCTCCTGTGCTACTAGTTTTCGTAAAGTGTATCAGTGGGCCATCGTACCGATTGCACTTGGTCCGACTGCTCGATATCAGCTGGCACGGCAGCGATTCAGCTATAAGGGTGGTTGGAGGTGTGCTGTGACGTCACTACCTCACACTGTAACAGGGCCGTACCACCGTTTAGGGTACCGTTGATAAATCACATTTTTGGAGAAAATCTTTTACAATGAAAACAACATTTTTGTTTTTGTTTTTCTCATTCGATCAAACGATTATAATCTTCTTTTTCATTTTCTTTTAGGCGAGGCAATAATATGCTATCAGTGCAACAGCGAGTACGATCCAAGGTGTGGCGATCCATTCGATCCGTACAGCCTTGGAACGGTAAATTGCAGTTTTCAACCACGATTGGAACACCTCAATCATCTCGAGCCCACGATTTGTCGAAAAATCAGTCAGAGAGGTACTTATTATTACATTTCTTTCTTTATTTTTTGACTTTTTATTTGTTCATATTTTTCTTGATAATTTTACTTGAGCTACTGATTATTATACTTGATGATAAAATAATTAAGTATGTAGAAAAATTTGTATGCAAATGTGTATGTGTCTATAATAATACAAAATCTTTTTTTTTTTTTTTATATTCAAATGAAAATTAGTAACTAAATGTGCTAACGAACACATATTCGTCAAGTAGTAAAGGGTAGGGTTGCCGTCTGCATTGCGGTGTCCTCCTACCTGACAACCTTGTAGTTAAAAGATAGGTTTAGAAACAGGAACACTTATCCTTTCGACAAGTTCACTGTGTCGACTTACGCACATGAGATCAATTATATTTCTAAATTTAATGAAGCATAGAATTAATTGATCAATTGAATAGAAGTTTAAAAGAAGGGTGTATGTTAAATTTAATACTATTTTTTTTGTAGAAAAATTTAAAAACAATTTGATGCATGCTGTTGTAATAAAAGAAATAACTGGTGTAACATAAATCCTTATTTCATTTTCAAAAAACATAAAATATAATTTAAAAAAAAATCTAATTCAATAATTAATAAATGCAACAGACGCACACCAAATTTTTATATCCAATTTTATATGTTTGGTTTTTTTATTAAATTTAACATACACCTTTCTTTTATGCATTTTTTTAAATTACTGTTTAAATATATTGCTTATGTACGGTATCCTTATTGTATATGTTTATTAAAATATTTATTAAATAATTTAGAATAGAAAAATTTGTTCGAGTGACTTCTGATATAAAACAAATAAATTATTGAAAATGTATAAATTCTAATTTCTTTAATTTACTATTAGATTTGTGCACGTGTACACAGTACACAATTTAAAGGTGAAGATATATTAAATCAGCTCATTCATGAAAGTTTCATGCCACTGTCGTGAAATAAATCATGAAACTTTATTGTCACCTCTAAGAACAAAGCTTCGCAATGAAGACAAACACTTTGAGGGAATACTAATTATAAATTTCATTTAATACGTATCTCGTATTTTTTATTCGTTGTTTTCACAAACGACAATAAGAGCATAATTTCAAATTTTGTTTGGATCGTTGAAATTTATGTTTTAAATTTCTTTTCGATGACGATTAACTTTTTATCAAAAATTTATAATAAAAATTTGGTAAAAAATCTTATTCGTTATACACAAATTAAAACAATATAAGATAATCTAACATAAGATAAAAAAAAACCATTTACTAATGTTTTTTTTGTTTCGGTTGTATCATTAAAGGAATGTGTTTTGAAAATTTGCAGTTTATGGAAAGGAGAGAGTGGTAAGGGGTTGCGGCTACATTACGGATCAAAAGGACAATGGAGAATGCCTTCTAAGATCCGGCACCCACGACGTGCGTGCGCATTACTGCGCCTGTACCGGTGATCTCTGCAATTCTGCCGAAAAACGTAGACCGTCCTCTTTATTGAACCTGGCGACCGTCGCGACCATCATCGTGGCGATTCCGAGTCTTATTTTGTCGAGTCCTTTTTCCCTGCCTGTATTGACATCGTCCAATTTGTCAGTAGCCTAAATAGAGAGCAGCTGGTCGTTAGCGGCTAATTATCACGCCTAACCGAATCTAATCGTTCGGATTGTACCTAATTCAAGCCTAATTCGACCTGTCGTTACTCTATATCAAAAATGAAAAGAAAAAAAAAATCATTTTTTTCGAGATTAATTTTTAAAAAATGTTCAACAAATTGTTCGTTCCACTTTCCTCGATAAAAAAAAAAAAAAACAATCGAGGACGAAGAAACGGGAAAGAAAAAAATAATTAAAACATAATAAAGGAAAAAGAAAACGAAGGAACGAATAAATGAATTCGAATTATTTCTTGCCACCATTTTTCTCTCGTCGTCGTGTCACGTGACGCGGTAGAACGAGGGAGATTGGCTTGCGCGTTACGAGAAACGATTTAAAATTAAAAAAAAAAATTGTTAAAAGAGTTAAAATTGTTGAAAAGTTTTGAGAACGACGATCGAAATAATGCTGCTGCTTCTACCTATTTTTGGAAGAAAATGTTTGGAGTGTGCGCGATAGGTACTTATTTATGTACACATCATTGTTCCGTGCTCTACGACCGGCCCGCGTCAAAAGTAGTCAAATTATAATCAATAGAGTATATAAGAAGAGGAGTGAATGATTTTAAAGAAAACTGCCAGAGACGCGCGAATTTGAAAAGATAGACAAGAAAATATATATTATTCTTTATCCGTGGATGATAACGTATATTTAATTAACGCGATTCGTCGGGAAATAAAATGAAAAAGCGAGAAAGATAAAAAAAAAAAAAAAAGAAAAAAAGAAACGAGAAAGGGAGAGAAAAATATAAAAGATAAAATATTTTACGCATTTATAGGAGAAGTAAAATGTAATAGTGTCAAGAATTACGCTACAAAACGGACACGCGCGTTAGATCAATTTAAAGAAAAATGAAAGAACAAAAAACAAATAAAAATAAAATATCATTTATTGAATATACACGAGGAGATTTATAGTCTGCCGATGTATCGCGACGACAGGAAGGCGTTTAATGGAATTGCACGCTAAGAGAAAAGATTATGGCTTATTTTTAGACGAGTGACATGCGATTGCGTTCGTGATAGAGCGAGAATCCTTTGTTTAATTAGTTAAGAAATGTTAAATGAAGAAGATAAATAAATGCGATTTAAAGAAAAATAATATATACATGCATTATAACAATACAATAATGTAGTAGCACATATTATAAACATTATATATACATACATACGTACATACATACATCCATACATACATACATATATTATTAAATAAAGAACTGAATTATGTTTATGCGTTCTCTCCAGGAAAGGAACATCATCGCCATCACGAACACAATCCGTGTTTTGCCGATTTTTGCAATAAATATATATTAGTATTAAAAAGATATAAATTCTCTATAATTCGTAGCAAAGAAATGAGAGACGTATTGCGACCTATCTCGAGAAATATGAGATATTCTATTAAGAGATAGCGTCGCATGCGTTTTTCTCTCTTCATGTGAGTTCGTACACGCGTGTATGCGTATGCATGAGAGAGTGCGTGTGAGTTTTGTATGGCTGAAAATGAATGTATACGATGAATATATGTAGTATGTATATTTGAATAAACGATCAGTAACGCTAAAATCGATAATAGTTGATCGATTCTACGTGCTATTCCTTCGAGAGCGTTCAACATATGTAGATGATGATAATAATAATAATAATAATGAAAGAAAAAAAATTTTAAAAGTTAACAAATTAACAATTAATTGAGAACAAAGAAATTAAAAGTATTCTTTTGATCGAAAATGATTAAACATTCGTAACGGATCAGTCAGGTAGTGTTTGATCGAGATCGATAAAGTAGATGAAATAGAGACGCTTAAATGTAAAAGAGAGAATATTTAAAAAGAGAAAAAAAAAACAAGAATAATTAACCAAAAAATAATAATAAAACCGTGTCACATATACACATACACATACATACAAAAACTTCGGTCCTAATACCATTGAAGAAGAATTTAAAGAGGACCTCTACCACCATCGCAACCGCCATCTTTAATTGCTCAAGTGTTAACAGTCGCATTACATTTATTACTACTACACTACTATTACTACTACCACTACTCTACTACTACTACTACTACTCTATAACTATTACTACTACTAATACCAGTAATACCGCTACTATTGCTACTGTTACTATTAATGCAATTAAAAATAACGATACTATTAATTGTAAGTAAAAAAAAGGAAAAAAAAGGAAAAATAAAAGAAAATAAAAATTATAGATAACACAGAACAACCCGATACGATAGCAATAGAAAAAGGAAAACGACACAATAGCGATAAAATGATAAAAGTTTTGAGGGTGGGAGAGAAGGGAAGAGATGAGGGTGTGTGGAGATGGAGAGGGACATGGAGTTTTCAAACGAACGACGATAAAAAAAAAACGATAAAAAATAAAATAGCAGCAAAATTGAATTTAAAATTAAATTAAGAAAAGAAAAAAAAAATGATAAAAATACGAAAATGAATATGCGAATTCCGTATACGCACTCGGAAGCACGAAGCTTAAGATCCTATTGTTGAAAGTATTGACTCGCATTCTTTTGATACATTACACATCCAGTTAGAGACAATGTTTTCATTTATAAGATGCGATATTTAAAAATCACTTTTGCCTTTTTTCGACTTGCGTGCATCAATTTTTCTCTTCTCGTGGTATATTTAAGAAAATACAATAACGTGTGCGCGTTAAAAAAAAAAAAAAAACTCAGTGCACATTAAATGTGTATGATGTGTGTGTTCTTTCTTCCGTTCGAACGAATTTAAACGTCCTTTGATGTCGATGTTTTCTAATTGAGACAAAATAATGAATACACGTAAAATAATTTAATTTCTTTTCAATGTCTCCTTCGTTTTAAGATTCATTCGGTGTCGTTTGTTACAAAATTGTTTCGACATCGAGAATCGTCGTGTTCGATCTACAAAAGATCTAAAGCGCCTTTTAAATAAAATAAATTTTCATCGATTGATCCAAAACGAACGAATTGGATCACGAATTTTCATTCATTCCAACGAAGAATTGAATTAAGAGTTTTTGAAATAATGGATTACAATTAATCAACACCTATAGTGTTCTAATACTATTATTTCTGCCGACAGCATGCGTTACTTTTTACGCGCTTTATTATTCTCAATTATGCTTAAAGTTATATTATTCAAATCTAAAATTGATAACAGTGTGTTTATACAATATAGAAAAATTATAGAATCAAAAACGAGACCTGCAATTTGAATTTCTTGTAAACAAATGTAAAAGCAGTCAAAAGATAACAAACAAGAATAACAATAGTAAACATTTGCTTCTCTTACTACTACTCTTACGAGTAGAAAAATGTGAATAAACGATAATTTTGAATTTTTCATTTGAAATTCATCGGCTCTTAAATCATATTAAAGTCGCGCATTTTCGCGCATTTCAATACATATCATCTCAACATAATCGTGGTGGATTAAATTGCAAAAACACACATTTCCAAATCATAACACTGCCCCCACCTCATGCATATCGAATTGAAAAATAACACATTTTAACAGCAAGTGTTTAATTGCCATACATATAATAATGATCACAACTTGATGCTTCGTTAAGTAATATAGTTGTAATACCGATTGTCCCATCCTAAAAAAAAACGTATCAAGAGAATGTCTATGTCAAACTTAATAAATTTGTTTATAACATTTATTGTCAAATTATATCTATTGTACACAAAATACACAATGTACAGAGAGTATTCTGCCAATAAAGTGTTAAATGGTTACGGAAAATAATATCAGATAACATTGTTCTTGTTAAAAAAAGAAAACTAACTCCCATAAGTAAACGCATCTATACTGTTTTGTATAAATATATATATATTTATATTATTTTAGAAATGAAGGAGTTTTTCTTTTTTGTTCTTTGTTAATAAAAATATTTCTTTGCTTATTTTATATATGAATTATTCAATAAACAAAATTTGTTTTTAATTTGCTTCAAAAAGATATTTGTATATATATATATATATATATAAAAGTGAGAAAAATACAAATTTATTATAGGATATATGTACATCTTTTATCTGTTATATTGAAATCTTGTTAGAAATGAAAACTGATATAAATATTTCGTGAAAGATATGATACACGAGAAATTAAATGTTTCTATATAGCACCGGTATACAAAATGTCTTTTGTTGAATTAAATCGCTTATATCGTTAGAAACTTAATTAATTATATTCTTCATAGATAAAAATTAAATATATCCAAAATCTGTATTAACATAATTTATATGGTATATTTACAGTTTAGTTTAATAGTAAAAATATATCATAAAACTTTGACAAATACAAATCTTTTTAATCATTACCAATTGTGGTGAATAGGATGTTCTCTTTCGCAACTTGATATTCCATGTAAAAGTCAATTTACATTGAGAATATATTAAATATGTAAAGGTTAATAAATTATGAAACTTTAGTTGTAGCAGTTAAGAAGCATATGAAATTTTACATTAAAGCTTTATGATGCAATTTAATGTTAATCAATAATTTGTGATTTATATATATATATATAATTATAGAAACATTACCTTTATAATCTGCAAAGCTTAGACGAATATAATTAATATTATGAATATTTTGAACATATATTTTTGTGCATCTTGTTCTTATAACAACTAATCTAAATGTTTACTCATAGATATACATCTGATAGAACTTAATAAAAAAAAAGATCTTTCTCTATTTATTATTTCATAAAATATATTTATAAAAGTTAAATGAACTAGAAAGCATTTATTTCTCTAACTAAAATAATAATTATTTTCTTTTTATTGCAACTAATAATTAATAAAATTATCTAAAAAATAATATAACGAAACATAAAGTTTTTCTATATGTATTTTTTAGTACTGCGTTAATACAGAATTAATGTATGATGCATTTTAGCAGTGTATTCTTAATGATAGTTTAGAATTATTTCATAGACAAAATTTATACACATATAAAAACGCGTAAAAATGTTTTTATCGCGTTATCAAATAATTTTGGTATATGTATCATGTATATCATTAGTAGCTATAACAAAGTCTTTATCTCAACAAATAATCGAATCAATTGTACAATCACGATGATAAAGCAAATAACTTTCTTTGTACAAACCAAATTATAATATTTAAATCCATTTAGAAAAAAAAAAAAGAAAAATAAATAATAAAATTATTTCTCCACGAATTTTTCAATATATGAATTTTTGTTCATCGACTAATATTTAAGTAAATTTTCCTATTAATGAAAAGTATTTTAAGTAACTTGTGAGTGACACATCTACGTTATAATTTCGATGTATAAATGCATTAAAATTCATACAGCACTTTGGTCCGTCCAGAAAAATAACATATTATACTAAATTTATAATATCTAAAAAAGCACTCAATTATCAATAGCTATAATTAATCGGTTAGAAGATTAGAGGAATCTTATTAATTGAAAAGTAACTCGAGTATTTCAACCTCAAGCTTAGAGACTTACAAAATCGTCATTATTGAAAGCACCTTTCAATTCTCATTCTCTCATGTATTTTATTTATTTTTTTAAACTGCTAAGTATCTGCAAGAATGGAATCATTTAATTTCTCTTCTTCGTTGGATAAAAATGGTGTTACTACTTGCATATTAACAGATATGTACAAAGGATAGGTTAATTGTTTATCCAAAGACAACACCTGTTTCTAAAACATAAATGATCAAAGTAGTATTTAAAGAATGTTAAATGTAATAGCTATAAATGTATTATCTATACCTCTTCATTTTTATGTAAAGATAGTCTAATCATTCCAGTAGATTGAATGTGCTTAATTTGGCGCTGTTCATCCAATGAAATCAATGTTACCCTAGAAATAATAATATTCATTTTTTTTTTTTTCATATACCATTATTTATAAAAATAATTTTATATTAAATTTCTTTACTTACTTTAGAATAATATTATGTTTGTTATGGTTTGCCTTAATATGATCCGTATCTAATCTGTGATTTCGTTTGATTCTTAAAGTTGTAATATCTAAGCATACGACGAGATCGAGACCAAAATGAAATGCTGTCCATCTCCAGATATGCTCACCAGGTTTTTCAACGCATCGGCCACATCGAAAGCATTCCTTATAGAATTCTGCTTCTGTGATTTCTTTAGGTCTAAAATAAATATAAATTTTCTTTTACTTTTATTTATTTATTATATTATAATAATATATATTAAAATAATTTATAAATTATATTTTTAAAGTTATACGATAACTGACCCTTTATCTTTACTTGCATCGATTCTTAATAAATGTAACCATTGTTCTTTATATGCGTCGTGTAACCAACTGGATGGTATTAAATTATCACTGTATAAAATTTTAACATCTTGATCATGTAAAAGTAAATATTTCATTCTTAATGCTTTGAAAGGTTTTGCATATTCTTTGCCTTCCTCCGTTGTTAAAAAAGGTTCCGTCCATCTGTGATTTCTAAAGTATTCGTCAATCTCTATAGTATCATCTTTGTTCTTTAGATGTACAAAAAGCCTGCAACAATATATCTTAGTTGAATTAATTATTTTTTGTTTTTACTTATTTGTACTATTGTATATGTTGATTTAACTATAATACGGAATTAAAATTTCTTACCATACACGTAGCATCATATATATACAAAATTCAGTTTGCATAGCCACCAAATCTGGACTGACGATTAATTCGGCCATTAAATCTGGAGTAATTTCTTGTAAAAATGTTGGATGTAACCATCCATATCCTAATAAATTAACTTCCAACCATCTCTTAGCAGCCACTTTAACTGCAGGTACGCCGTAGGAAACTGCTGCGTTGTAATATGGAACAACAGTTTTAATGTTAGTAGTTTCTATCATAATATCGGTACATTGGTCAATCAATCCTTGTAATTGAAATAAAGTGGATGTAGCTAAAATAGAAATGACATCCTTTGGTTCTAAGCTGACTTCATCTTGATAAAATGATCCTAACACCGTTAAAAGAGCTGAAATAATAATAATTGAATTAATAAAGATTAATGATTATCTAATACCATAATGTAATGTTAAAAATTTATTGGTCTTATTTACAGTCTAATGTGATATTAGGATCAGCAATTTCAACGCTAATCACAGTTTCATTCGCTTCTCTCCAAGACCCAGAAAACATACTCGCAAAATATGGACTCTGTAAATGAATGAATAAATTTTCAATATAGATTTAATAAAAATATAAGAGCTTTATAAAAAAATCATTATTAATTCATACTTGACTAATATAAACTTTGTGTAATCTCCATGCTCTTCCTAACATGAGCACAGTTATATCACTTCCTTTCTCTTCTTTGAATAAAGTCTTGTATATATATTGTGCGGTAGTAAGCAATTTTCTCCTACAAAAGTATGCATTGTTATAAAAAACAAATTATTCAAAATGTATTTATTTTGATAAAAAGTAAATCATTTAATCGATTAATAATCCCACTTTTTAGGCGTTTGAAGTGTTCGATCGATGTATTCTGATTCAGAATCAAAATCATCTTCTTCGATGCATTTTCGTTTACGGCCACGATAAACAGAATGTACTGCTGTATTAGACATAGACGCAATTATACTCATATAACTTCCCATCTTTACAAAAAGTTTCTTTTTTAATGTTTTTTTCAATAGGTTAATAATTTTCTAATGAAACTTCAACAAGAGCATAAGAAATTTAGTCATTTTCAATAAAAGATATAACAACACCGTCTTTCTGACTGCACAGAGTGTATTTACGTAGACGTATATACACCACGCTGCATATATAAACACGTGACGTAATGAAAAGATGACAGAGATCTAAAACAACTCATGACCTAAAACGTATAAAATATGTTTCAAGTTTAGAAGCATATTTATGAATGTATTGTAACTTGAAGATCATTGGATGCACTTTATTCAAAAGTACATCCAATAGAAACACAGCTTTAGTCACGAGTGCACCAATCCAAACAGGATCGTACAACGGAGCATTTTCATTGGTTAAATTCTAAGTGTTCAATGCACAAAATTCTCTTTTATTTCGAAATATTAAAAATCATTTAATATACTAAAACATAATATTATAATCATATTATTAAGGAAATGGATCATTTTATATAAATTATATTTATTTAGATTAAATATTGAAATCATTTTGTTAATTATTTCATATTAATTGTAACTGACATATTTTTTATTTATAATTCTATTATATTTAATCAATAAAAATGAAGATAAAGGATTTCTAGATTATTTGTCAAGAAAAAGGATAAGAATAAAAGAGATAGTATAGAAATATCTATAATCACGTCTAATCGAACGTCGTGATTCGTTCGTAAAAAGCATCTGTCCCGTACTGATGAAACGATCGCCTAAGTCGACGATCACGGAAACAGCAGTTGACAAATCCTTCTGTGTGTGATATTGTACGGTAGTCATCACAGTTGTCGTTTATTGTATACTTGAGGGAAGATTATATGTTTTATCATACGAAAAGTTAGTGATAATAAGTCATTGTGTTAATAAAATTTTCATTCCAGTTAAAAAGCCAAGCGTCAGTTCACAATGAGCTTCCTATTGTAAGTTTTTTTCTAAATAAAAAAGTACAAATAATTCGATACATTCGCTTTAAACTCCATTAAACAAACTATAAGAAAAGATTATAGTTGAATTAGATACAGTCGATGTTAACTGTATAACTTACATTAGATCAATAGAGTATCTTTGAAAGAGAGAGAAAGATATATATATATATATATATATCATATATATATGTATGTATGTATATATATATATATATACACATATAATATATATGGATTATTTAATGAAAATGAATAAATCACTGAAAAAAGAATCTGCCATTAGAGAGAGAAAGGATAGCCGCTTACATTATATATATAAATATTGATAGATTCCTTTTTTTTTTTGTCATTAGTATACACTTTATTTGCATTTAGACTAAATTATCTTTTTTTAAATCGTAAAGTATCGCTTGTTAGGAGCTAAATTGTTATCGATAGATTTATTTTGATATGATTATATTTATTTAAAAAAAGTGCATTGATAATGTACATACAATGTAATCTTAATTTATATACGTATATGCAGTTAAAATGAATCATCTTTTCAGGAAAAATATCTTTCTTTGTTATATATTTTATGTAGTATATCTATTTGTTTTTTTTTTTTTTTTTTATTATATGCAATTTTATTTTTATTCCCATACTTATATATCAATAAAAGAATTTCAATATTATGTTTGTTTTTTTTTTTTTTTTTAATATTTTATTTAATAGATATTAATGAAAATTCAAGGATAGATAAATAAAAATGTTAATAACATACAATGGAGATAATTCGCTATCTATTCAGCCAAGTAATAAATTCATATCTGCCAGTTTTACATTATCCAACTCTAAATTCAACGTTTCTGGATTTCTTAAGTGGAAGCCGGTCATCAAAAACCTTTAAACCAAAGAAGAATATCCCAGAAGGAACTCATCAATATGACTTGATGAAACATGCTGCGGCTACTCTTGGTTCTGGAAATCTAAGATTAGCGGTTATGCTTCCAGAAGGAGAAGATTTAAATGAATGGGTTGCTGTCAATAGTACATATACACATTTTATATATTATTTTATATATAAGTATATATGTATATTGAATTTGGAATCTTATTGTTTTTTTTTTTTTTATTGCAGCTGTTGATTTTTTTAATCAAATCAATATGTTATACGGTACCATAACAGAATTTTGTACGGAAGAAAGTTGTCCAATAATGTCAGCAGGTCCAAAGTACGAATATCATTGGGCAGATGGTCATACTGTGAAAAAGCCTATTAAATGTTCTGCTCCCAAATACATTGATTTTTTAATGACATGGGTGCAAGATCAGTTGGATGATGAAACATTGTTTCCTTCTAAAATCGGTAATTTAATTAACATTAACCCCTTATGCTATAATAACATGCTAGAACTTGTGGTACACTTTACAATAAAAACATGAGAAAATACGAGTCTTACTCGTGACAAATCTTACAGGCACAACATAAGAAGTACGAAATATATCATTGACTTTAGCACACAACTCTGGATGTTAAATCATAGTGCAAGGGGTTAATTAATGGTTTTCTTGACATTATTAACAATATATATATATATAAATTGAAACATTTCTTTGATTCTGCAGGCGTACCATTTCCAAAGAATTTTTTGTCAATTGCAAAAACAATATTGAAACGATTATTTAGAGTATACGCACATATTTATCATCAACACTTCAGTGAAGTTGTACAACTTGGCGAGGAAGCGCATTTAAATACATCTTTTAAACACTTCATTTTTTTTGTTCAGGTATCTACAATTTATTACAATAAGTAATATATGCATTATTATATAATATAATATTATATATTTATATGTTTTTTCATTTCTATTTAGGAATTCAATTTAATTGAACGACGAGAATTAGCACCATTACAAGAATTGATAGAGAAGTTAACTGCAAAGGATGCACGATGAATTATTCATGTAATTGTAAACCCAGAAACTCCTCCAAAGAATCTCACCCGCATGGTATTTGCTAACAAATGTATAATTGCTTACAATATTATGAAACCAATTATATTTTTAGATACATGATTTTTAATCATAAAGTGTGGGTCAATGGTGAAAAAGAGCGGTAGAATTATTTGAATTTTAGAAAAAAGGTTAATTCATATCAGATCTTTTTATTATTTATTTTTTTTCTATTTTCAATCTATAAAAAGGAGTTTAAAATGAATGATAGAGGAATAAATTATTGACGCACACACATATGTTTCATATATAAATTAACTGATTTATTTTTGCTTCATTTTGTTGAATACACTCTTAGAAATGGGGGTCTTATTAAGAGGAATTGTCAAATTTCATAATAAGAAATTGATTTTCGCATCTCTAGGAGTTTATCAATCGATTTTCCTTTGTATATTTATTCAATCAGAATGTAATTAGATATGCGTGTAATTTTAGATATACGGAGAATTGAGATAAAAATTGCCTTTATTAGACAATAAGTGTGTTCGATTATACTGTAGGTATATACAAGTAGCTTTTTTACTATTAAAATCATAAACATTTTAGAAATTAAAAAGGCAATTATATTTCGACCCCCCTTTCCTAGAGTATATAAAATAAAATGTAGGAAAACAAAAAAAGAGGAAAATACATTTAAAATAATCTTTCTGGTATATATGGTTGTAATCATGTATACTATTTATACAGAGTGTTCTGTAACTAGTGTTATAACTAAGTAGAGAAAGATTTCTATATGAAAAACTGAGAATAAGTTGAGAATTTAAAATAACATATGTTCATACGTGACTTTGTTTTTGAGAACAAATTTTTTTATTTTACACTTTTGATTTAATTTTTCATATAGAATCTCTCTCTCTCTCTCTGCCCGTATATTCCACTAGTTATAAGTCATCCTGTTTAATATTTAATATGCATATAATGGCAATGACTAAATGGGGTGAGAGTTATCATATGTAGACTTTTGTACAATATTTACACATTTAATATGCACACGTATACATACACACATATGCGCGCGCGCTTAAACTTACACAGCATAGCAATTGATTTATATTATATTTAGTAGCGAACACATTCTAATCAATTAATACGGTTTTTGTTGTTAATTATAATTTATTATATCTAATGAGCTTTGTACTTGAAGTTTGCAACTTGTAATTGAAAAACAAGGATCATCTTATTAAAAGATTATCTTATAAATATATATATATATATATAATCTGTGTAGAATATTGTATATGCTGAGAAGGTTGGAATTATAATGTTAAGTGATTTAATATTTAAACATATCTAATTGTGATCCATATTATTTTGTTATAAAATATAATTACACTCGATCAAACGTGAACGTAAGGTATTTGCTATTTGGGCAAACTAACGCAAATATACATTCATACATACATAAACTATACATACATACATACATACATGAATACGTACGTATAGGTAAAATGAAAGAGATAGATACGAAAAGAGAAAAAGAGAGGGAGAGAAAAATTAAAGAAATGAAAAAAAAAATGATGTTGAATGGCATTTAAAAATCACTGTAATTTCGTATAATTGCTTTTATACTTAAATTACATTGAAACAAAACGTTGTCATATTTTTATCATAGTTTTGTTAAATATTCTAATCATGTGTAATGTTTTTTCATTAAAATATTACATATTGTTGGTATATATACGAAGGTACTAAGTTACATACACAGACACGCACGCACGCACACATATACATACATTATTATAATGTTATTTTGGAATATGTTGAAACAGTTAGGTGATCTTTGTGTGTTAAGTGCTTACGTATGAATATTCATAAAAATAAGCATTTTCTTTTTTTATGCAACTATGTTTATATTTACCATGTGTTCTAATGCATATTGTTCGTGCATGGGGTCAAGGAAAAAACATATTTATGCAGGGTGTTCAAAAAAAAAAAAAAAACATTCAATATTTATATGGTATATAGAATACACTGTACTGAGTAAAAAAGTTTGAGCAAACATAGATCGAAAAATCAATTGTTTCTGAGATATAAATATAAATATTTTTGTTTATTAGTACCGGAATTTTTCAGGGAGTTTGCGACTTTGTAAAAAGAAGATACCAAGTGTGTATAGAAATGAAAAGTAGACACGTGGAAAATCTGTTGTAAACATCGAAAATTTAGTAGTAAATCAATTTTATGATAATAACAAACAAAAATGTTTATATCTCAGAAACTGTTGACTTTTCGACTTATGTTTACTAAAACTTTTTTACTCAGCATATAAATATTGAATGGTTTTTTTTTTTTTTGAAAATCCTGTATATATATATATATATACGTATTTGTTCATTATGGTTTATAAAAGATATAATCACATTTTTGATATAACATGAACTTTATATTTTCTTATGTAT